TAATAAAATTTTTAGTCATCCAATTCATGCCTAAAATCACTTCAAACTCCACCAAGTGTAACACAATAAGTTGTACCTCAAAATCTTTTCCACCGGTCATTAACTTCACATCACATGAATGATTAATTTCCAAAAAAGTATCATTTTGGATTTTAACCGATAATATCACAGACATAGAAATGATATTCAATAACATTACTTTAACTAGTTCCTTAGCCATAAAAAAGTGTGATGCTCCAAGTCAGATGATACTATTATTGGCCTATTATGGAAATATATAATACTTATCATTAAAATCATTACATTGAACATTTAGAGCCTACTTATTAATATATTTACATTCTTACTTTGTTTTATGAATGCATGACATTAATTCTATTATGCTTAAAAAATATATTTGGCTAAAATTCTTAAAGAAAAACATACCAGTGATAACGTTAGGGGAGTCCTAAGCTTCCTATTGTGAAAGAGCATATACTCTAGGCTGGACACTCTGTTGGGTCTGACCAGGATTCGACATCGAACCTGAAAATTTAGTTGCCCTCGGTCTACCAAAATTCTTCTAAGGTGGTGCAGCACTACCCCTTGAATCAGCTGAAGCTACCTGGCCCAATCTAGAGCAATTCCTAGTCATATTTCTTGGCTGGTAGCACCAAATGCAGGTATTTCATCCAAACAGACATCGCCCTAATGAGAACTTCCACACTTGTCACATTTCTTCGCTTCAAACTGAGTGTCAAAGCTGTTGGATCTAGCCTTTTTAGCACCTATATCACTGGACTGGAAAGACTGTCTGCCATGAGAGCCCTTATGAAACTTGAATCCCTCTAAATTTCTTCTTTTTCGAACGATCCTTCTCTGAGTAGCTTCTAAATCTAACTTAATCTTCCCGACTCTCTCCATCAACATAAAATAATCATCAATTTCACGAGGAATCAATGGCTATCTAATCATATCTTTCAACCTAGACAAAAATTAACAGCACTTTTCATTTGCATTTGGAATTAACTGGGGTGCATACCTGAAGAGCATGGTAAATTCTACTTCGTACTCCATTATTGAGTGATCACCCAGTATCAACCGGATAAAATTGTCTTGCATTTGTCTCATAGCGAACAGTGGTATGAACCAGTCTCTAAAAGTGTTCACAAACTCATCACATTAAATCATGTGGCTGACTCTACCCTCATATTTCTCCTGCAATTGTCCTCGCCACCAGTTTTGTGCATCGCCCTCTAATGCAAAAGCGACTACAGCAACCCTCCTCTCAGAAGAACAAAACAACTCGTATTAGCATCCTCTCCAGCCTCAACAGCCAATTTTCAACATCCATCGAACCTCCTCCACCAGAAAAGAGATGTAGTCTCATATCTTGAAATAATTTCAAATATCTATCCATCTTCCTCCCCCACTAGATATGATCTCAGTTTCAGAATTTTTAATCAACTGCGTTACTACAGTCATCAGTAGTAAATGCATCTGTATTCACAATAATCTATGAGGGTGTATCAACTTCTACCATATCATCTCTAATTTCTTTATCTTGATTTTTCATATTTCTGAAATAACCTAAGAAAGATTTTAATTAGACATAATTTAACACCTTTTATTAATATTATTTATTAATTAATTTAATCATCCTTTGACTCTTTTATCATGATCCAACCTAATTGCTCAGAAACCGCTTTTGTCACGATCTTACCTAATAACTTAGAATTAAATAAGGAACTGCAGTCGAACAGTGAAAACACTTAAATAGTTATCTACAGATTTGTAAAATCTTTCAATATATAAAATAGTCACTAAAATTCACAAAGTGCAATAAAAACAAAACACTGATAAAAAAACATAATCTGAAGACATCTCAAGTCAGTACTAAACAATATATCATTATCTGAAAAAAGCACTACAAAGAAATTATCATAAAAAATACCTAGTAATATTAATCCTCCTATAAATCAAGTCCCTCCTATCAAACATATCAACTTATAAATTTTCTTTTCCTGAAAGAAACTATTAATTTCAACAGTAAGTTTAACTTAGTGAGCAAGTTTAATCTTAATATGCATTAAATTATTATACTAATATTATGCATGAATGACTAAAAGAAAATATAACTCAGCTTATAAAACTTTAAACATTTATGCTTTCCTTTAACGTGCACGGCTACATGCATCCCCTACCAATGTCATATGGGGGTAATCTTGTATGACTTAAACTTTTACATCTCATTTATTTTAAGCTACCTCATTTTAAAAACATTGGATAGTCATTTTTCTTTGTACCATTTCATTTCCTTAAATTTTCAAGCTCACAAAATGCATATAATTATAAAATTATTGTTTAAAGCATTACAAAAATTTTTTATTAAATAAAGATTAATTTATATATATATATAAATAAATACTAACCTGAAGCCTGAATGCCTTTCTCTGGCCCTTGACTTTTACTTTTTTATTTTTCAATTAAAACTCGTTTCACCTGAATCAACAAAACTAATTAAGACTCATAAATTTCCTAAAGTAATATTTTAATATTCAACAGTCATTTAAATATGTAAGAATTTTATGATTAAAAACACTAACCTCTTTTAACCTTAAGATTATTTGTCTTCCACAATCCCAAAGATTTATCGACTTCTTTCACACATTCTAATCTAAATAAAATTTAATAACATTAATTAATTTAACTAATTATATCATTAATTCCAATAATAACTTAAGCTTTAACATTTACCTTATAAACTTTCAGAGTCGAAATCCCATATTAGAGTACTTATTAAATTTGACCTTGCATTTGAACAGTCACACACTCACATATGTATAAAAAACATATTTATAGAATGATATTTTAATAATTTATTAAAATCTAAGATATACCTTTATAAACTTTTCGGTCGTCTGTCCTAACCTCACGCCCATAAGCACTCCTTCCTCTCCATTAGTCTTTGTTCGACCGAGAGTAGTGCATGCAGAGACCTCGGCTCCTCTTCCTCCTCTTCTTAGGTCCCGAATCGTAGTAGCAAACCACACGCGCTACCTCCTTGCACAGAACAATGTACGAAGCTTCCCTTCGCGCACAGTAACAATGTAAAAAACCACTTCTCTTCTTCATCTTCCTCTACGCGAACACAGTGCCGAAGTTCGACCACTTCCTCCTCTTCAATCGCGGCTTAGCCTGACACCGCACGCAGCTACTTAGGAGAGAGACTTGAAACCTTTCTCTTCCTCTTCTTCTCTCTTGCCCTCTCTCTTGATCTCTCCTGCTGTCGCTTCGTTCTGTTCTATTGGTTCAAAGGGGATACGACCCTTGTGTCGTAACCAAAGAAGTGTGTATCCTTGGTGCCCATTCGATTAATTATTATTATTACTATTATTAAAATTAAGTTATAACAACAAATTATTACTGTTTACTGAAATTTTATGTAAATTATGTTCACTTTCTTGTAACTTTTATGGGAGTGATGCAAAAATGATCATAGAGTATATGTGAATCTAAAGAAACAATATCAACGATCAAGATTACTTCATCAAAAATCATTCTACTTGTAAGTAGAATTTGATTAGAAAATTTATGGTAATAATTCTCATAATAAACGATTTTCACTTATTTAATGTTGCTATAATGATGGCAAAAAATACAAATTGCATGATCATCATTATCATCATCAGCTTCAAGTAAAAAAATACAAGGTTGATTTTGGATAGCAGCCTTCACTCATTCTTATTGAACACCAAGTAGGGCAGCCGTAAATTTACAAAGTCCTTTTGCACTCTAATCAGTTATGTTACTTTACTTTCCATTTATTTCACATTAATTCCATCACAATTTATTGGTGCTCATTCTTATTTTGTCCTCCATTATAAATGCAAATTTTCCACTAATATTTTTAATTTAATAGGTATTGCTATCATCATCTCTTTCTTATAATCATTCTAACTCTACCTCCTATTTTACCACCCATCAATTTTTTTGTCCTTCGTAGCATGAGCACAAAAATAAGCTACATAGAAGATCCACTTGGCATAAATCAAGCAATATAATAATCTTTACAACAACAATTTCCTTTCCAAGCTTCCTCTCAAACGCGTGATAACCCGACTTAGAATTTTAATACGCATCAAGAGTTTCAAAATTGCTATATGTTAAACTATAACTTGATCACCATCTCTACGTAACTTATGTACCAGCATTTACTAAACTAAAGTAACAAAAAAAAAGAATAACACAATCTATTCTATGCATATTATTTGCAAATATTGTTGTCATTTCGCGAATCAAAAAATTATAAACTTAACCATCCATAAAGAAAAACATACAGGATAAAATTCCAACTTCCTAGCATATGAATGAACATATGCTTTGATTGTCCACAAATATACATGCCCCCTATCTTTAAGGAAAAACTAAGAGGTAGAGAGTGAAAAAGAGAGAATTTAGAGCGCTCACTTATTATAAAACAAAGAGGTTGTTCAGTGACTAGTCCATTATCTCAGCTAAGTAAATTCTACCTACTAAAGCACAAATGAAAAATAAACAACCCTTACAACTGGAAAAAGTAAGAACAAGATTAGATGATAAAATTAATGTAAAAGAATTATAAAAAAAGGAAAGATAAATTAAGATGAAGCACGAGAAATTTTGCTTTAATATTTGCCCAAATAAATATTAACACCTGATGAAACACTCAACAAGAATGAAAAAAGAATGATAATTCATAAGTTTAACACCAAAAATTCTATAAATGCTCTATGATAAAAAAAAATGTTCAATAATATCAAGAATGTAGCTTAAAATTTAAATATAAAAACTAACAATGGAAAAAAAGTTTAATCCACTAGCCCATGATCAATAATAAGAGAGTTTGGGAGTCGAGGTAGAGGTTCTTAAGTCCAAAAGATGGAAATTATAATGATATAAATGATGATCAAACCCAAAACCTTGGCAACAAATGTGACAAACATATTAAACTCATTTATAAATAAAATAAGATTAACTACCTCATTGACTGCACAATCTGTCTGTAAATATTCTTGTCGAATCCCACCGATACCTAAATCACTGCTTTTTCGATCAACGCAGCTGAGTGAAAAGTGCAAATCAAATATAAGAAAATTAATTTTGTAAATACAAAATATGTGTGATAGTTAATGTTTTTGTGTGAATTAGCATGAAATTTTTTTTTTCTTAACTTTTCCTTGAGAAGATATATAAGTGTTGATATATGAGACATACTTAAAAATTGTTTAACATATTGTTGTTAATATTTTGCTTTTCTTATGCTGAATGAAGCAAAATCATCATATTCCAGCATAGAAATACGAGGTGATCCTAGAGTCACTCATACACTAATAATGCCATCAGAAAGGTGCACTTGTAAAATGTTCGTAGATTAAGTATATTTTATATTAAAACAAAATAATTTCTTCAAGACATTAAGAAAGGAAAAAGAAAACTAAATTAATCATCATGAAGCAAAATAAATTACAAGTACTTAAACTGCCTTAGCAAAATCTTTAAGAGCATACTGAGTGGCAAAGATGAGCTCATGCTATTGGAAATATCAAACAGAAGGCTTGTGTATCATTCATTAACACCTCACTATGCCAGCAGTAACTGTGTTTTGAAGGGAAAGCGGACAGCCCATAGCAAGAACCCAATCACCTGGACGAAGTTTGCGTGAAGAACCAATCTTTGCCGATGGTAGTGGAGTTTTAGACTTGATCTTCACAACAGCAATGTCAGAATGGATATCAGCACTAACCACATCGCCCTGAAATTCTCTTCCATCTTGTAAGGTCACATCAACCTGAAAATTACCAAAGATAAAGCTAATTAAACATCTCCTTTTTTCCTGTTTTGCAAAATAAATGTGTGTTTGGCTCATTAAATTATGAATAAATTAGCAACACATTGACCTCTCATTTGGGACAGGCTGAATCAGTCTTAATAGACAAGAATCTTGAACCTTAGAGCTTTACTGGTTCCATCTTTCCTAAGATAACTGATCCTTGTCCTATATAATCTTTAGTTAAGCTTATAATTCACAGATTCGATTTGAATCTCTTAAACATTAGTCAACATGGTGTAAGATTTGAAATTCTTAGGCCTTAATTCGCGAGCTTTGAAATCAACATACTAGACTTTGAATTGCATAAATCTTAATCATTCTTGAACACCATAGCCTAGACTTGAATCGCCTATATAGTCAGCCTTGAAAGCCATAGATTTCTATTAAGCCTAGATGACCTAGTCAAATTTGAAATCCATATGTGAGGCTAGATAAAAATCTCAAACTACCATGAAACTAGTTTTGAAAGCCATACATGTCCCCAACTTTGGACCTACTAAGCTCTAGTCAACTTTCAAATCCATTGGACTACACATAAAACCTTAGTCAACTTTAAGACCCATAAGTTGAACTACTCCATACTTAGTGAAACCTAATCAAGCTTGATCAATCTTGATATTCATAAAATGGGCCCCACATAACTGTAGACCAATATCAGCTTGATGAATTGGATCCATAAAAAACTACAGAGTTCCAAGTGAAACCAAACCCTAGTTATCGCGAAACCAAAAATCAAATAATAGTAAACCCCTCAATTAAGCTCGACCTAAGTTTGATAGGCTCATCTATTATCTATGAATCTTAAGGTTTGACCCAAATCCTAGACTATATTTCAATCATTTGGCTAACCCCTGCAGGCACAAGCAAGCCACCCATACAACCTATCTTTTTCTCTTTAATATATTAACCCGAAGACTTTTTTCAAATATATATATATATATATATATATTTCAAGCCCAAAGGCTAATATATTAAAAAAAAAAATAGGGTACAGATAGATTTTGTGGGAAATCCCAAAATGACACTCAGCCCACACAAAAACCACCATATCAAATGGTTTCAAGAAAGAGAAAATACAGTCAATACATAAGAGATCTAAAAAATAAAAAATAAAAAGTGTCAAAATAGGAGTATCAGGTAGCTGGAGAGCGACCCAATTTTGTCTTGTCTCTGCCTCTAGGTTTAGGGAAGGAGCCGACTAATAAATTGGTCAGATGAGTGTTATTGCTAGTATTAACCAATATATCATCCAATAGATTCCCTAGCTCGAGTCGTCCTCCGTTCTTCTTCTTCCTCTTCGTGTAGACCTATCATTCCTCATCTGAGGATTGACTCACCTGATCAGCAGAATGGTCTGAAATATGCAGAATATGTGTAGGTTGTTGAACATTAAAGACAACTACTTGTTGTACCAACTGATCTTCTTTCGGGTCGAAAAAGCACTCTCGTGTATCGTGGCATGTAAGTGAGACTTCTTCAATAACAGTAAGTGATATCAGCACATTTAGATCTGTACCTATAGTAAGGAGTTCTTCGTCTGGAACTGCGATGTTGGAAAGGGGGATCGGATTGCACATTCTCAACAAGGATGGTAGATGACTGATCTTTAGCGATATTCGGCCTTAGATGAGAATGCAAGCGATAGCAAATATTAGAATTGTGGTCAAACATATTATAATGAGAGCAATAAGAATGATGTAGTTCTATTTCAACTTTTTGTCAATACCCATTGTGAATAGTGTCAATTCATATCTCATCCGGAGTTGGTTGAGTGATATCTCTCTCAACTAATACACAAGCCACAGAGGGTCTGGTGACAGCAAGCATAGGACTGTCCACCTTGAGAGACTTACCGAAAGCAGTTGCTAAAGAGTAGAAGATTTCCGTGTTGAACAGATGTAATTTTAACCCCGTAAACTTTATGCAAACTGGAATGATAGAGGACTCCGCTTTTGGATCAAAACCGACAGTCCACTTCAGTATTTTCGTAAAAATGATTGTCGATCTTGATAGCTTTTCGAGAGAAAATGCGAGTGTAATCGACATCATGAGATAACTGAATAAGTATATGTCGACCGTCAAGTAGGTCAATGTTTCAACTGCCCAATAATTTTATAGCATCAAATTCCTTCCTAATGATCTCCAGTTTTGGGTGACCATAAAGGATTTCCTCACAAGAGCAAAACGCCAAGAGGACGCGAGAGTATCGGTTTCATCCTCTGTGAGAATAAGTACAGGCTTCCCTTTTTTTTCCAAGCTTTTTAATAAAAGTGTGATCACCTCCACCTTTAAGAGCTTCGTAGAACGATTGTGGAACATTGCAGGACTTACCGATAGCAAAACCAGGCTCTGAATCTGGAGGAGGGGCACGAACAAAATGATAGATCAATGTCAAATCTTATATATATCTCTTTGATGCTTTGATAATTTTGAAAATCAATGCCATCTTATTTTGCATAAAACAATAACAAAATGATAGAATAATCATAACTTTCCAAATTAAGGTATTTTAATATTTACTTGAAAATTAATAACAAGTTATAAATTATGTGTGATAAAATTAAAATAAATTAAAATAATTCATCATTAATCAAATCTTAGATTAGCTTACAAATTCTAAAAAAAAATTAAATAAATAAAGTAAAAAAACCTTAAACTTAATTTCTAAAAAGAATAAATTTTATGGTGTACATCGAAGATGTGTCGACACTGATTCTAAGGAGATCTAAAGATCCGAAAGAGAAGAGTACACCAAAGGAGGACATGCAAACATAAGAACATGAGACTCACTTAAACAATTGTGTGTAATCATTCAAGCCAAAGCCAGTAAGACCAAAGACAACCAAGTCACGAAGAAGATCGAATGATACAAATCTGAGTCATTCGGTCAAAAACGAGATAAAGAGACATCCAAGCTAACCGACAGGAAGAAGCTGACTCAAGAGAAGATCTAGCCCATCATCATCTCCAATCATACCAAGGGTGTCCAAAAGTTTCCCAATTTGTTATCAAGGGTCGACGACCAAACTAACTCAGCCGACCAAACCGGTCTTACCAACCCGAAGCTAGTCAAGCTCAGTTGACCGGCAACACCAACTAAGCTTAGTCAACTGAACTGGCACTGCCGAGCCGAAGCCAAGCAAACTCAGCCAACCAAGTCAGAGAGCAACTGGGCAATTGACTCGTATCTGTAAAATACCAAAAATACCCTGCATAAACCCATTAAAGCAGGGACAAAAATGTAAGATCACCATATTATATCCTCCACTATAAATAGAAAGATCATTTACTAAACAAGGGATAGCTACCTTTAGCTAGAAAGGTCGGGAAAGGTCAACAAGATTGCACTAGAGAGTTTGTGAACTAGCAAATCCGTGTGTTGAAGGATCAAGTGTTGGATGACATCCGAGAAGCATTGGCTCAAGGAAAAGAGTAGTACCCCCAAGAGGAAGGTTCAGCGCCCAACGATCGAAGAGCCAAAGCCATGAAAAAAGAAGACGACTCTCAGTACTTCGATAGTGCTCACCAATCAACCTACACTAGTTCGAGCGTACTAAGGCACCTCAACAGCTAGAGAATACATTCTCTCGGCAAATCTCTAAGGTCGAGCCCCCCAAAGAGGTTCAAATCTCGACATTAGAGTTTCATAAGGGCATAATCGATCCAATCGACTACATAGCCTTGTTTAAGTCAATTGTGCATTTGTTGAGGATCACCAACATGATGAATGTCGTCTCTTCTTAATCACGCTGAGGGAGTCAACCCTTAGGTGGTTCAAGGCTCAGCCACTAAGAGTAATTGTCGTCCATTGATTTCAAATGAATGTTCGTGGCTTAATTTGTTAATGCCCTCCTGCAAATGCAACAGGGACAAAACAAGTCTTTGGTCGTTCATCACAAGCTTCTAGAAGATGATAGAAGTGCAAGACTTGGAGCCTACAGTAACTCATGTCGCCCTAGCTAAAAGGATAAAGAAAGGACATTTTCGATACGCGTTAAGTTTGCAGTGACAGCAAACATTGATCGAATTGTTGGAGATGGTCAACAATCACATATATGTTGAGTATAACTTCACCCCCATTTCCTCCAAAGCAGAGCCATCCACTCGTAGCATGCAGAAGAGGTACCACCAAGGCGATAGATGGAGACAGAAATGATTTACGTATTTTCGCCCATCCACAATTCGAAGGCACTCAGCCGCCTTGAGACCACAGGACGACCGAAAGTACATACAACCGAGAGAGTCATTCCTGATATCCTAATCAGGGGACGATTCAGTACAATTAGTGCTTGCTGCCCAACCATGAATTGCCCAAGATGACTTCATTGAGTGGATTTCGATGGTCGAAAGAGTGGAGGCCATCCAAAATATAGATTACTTTAGGAGAGTGCCCCTGATAAAAACTAGAGTTTACCTCTGAGACCTTAAGAATTACTGCTCCTACCATCGGGACCATGACACGAAGGATTGTCGATATCTTTGAGGCCTGATTGAGGAGTTTATCAAGGCTGTGAAACTTAAAAAGTTTGTAGTTCCAGGAGCAACGCCCCAACAACAGAAAAAATCTCAATTAGAAGAAATTTCGTATGAGCTTGTCTGAACACCATCATCCACACCGCTGGCACAATTCCTGCCATCTTCGAAGAAGGTAGAGACTCATCCCACCAAGCCAGCCTAAAGAGGCTTTGGTCGGGAGAGCTATGCGCAGCCACTCTTGCTCCCAAATGAAGTTTGCATCCCCCCTTTGCCAACACAAATGAGGATTTATCCTATAAGGGGAATCCCTACAATGACACCAGCGTCACTGCATTGCTCAGCAACTACCATATTGGTAGGATCCTTATCGACACTGGCGCCTCAATGAACATTTTTTTCAAATCAGTGTTTGAAAAGATGGGTCTTGAAAACGACCGACTGACCGCGACAACAAGCCCGCTTTATGATTTCTATGGTGAGAA